GCCTCCAGCAGCTTCCCGCCCAGCCGAACCACGGCCATGCCCAGGCGCAGCAGGCCGGCCCGCTCCGCGGCCGACAGCTTACCAGCAACCTCCTGCCAGGTGACCCGCTGGCCGCCCACGGCCACGGCCTCCCTCGGCTCAGGCAACGCAGCGTCCATCTCCAGCGCCGCCTGACGGCCCCGCGTCAACGCGTCGGCCAGCTCGTCGGGCCCCAGCTCCTCACGGAAGCGATACAGCCTCCGCATCTTGCGCGTCCGCAGTGCCAGCGGGAAGGCTCGGGCAGGCCCAGTCTCGGGGTCCCCACAGCTCATGTCCTCAGCGTAGATGTCACCATCTGGGGTCAGGACGACCCACTCACCTTCCGCCACGTAGTGCAGCAGCACCCGCTCGTGGTCGACGTCGTCGTCGGCGAAACGGCAGACCACGTGCTCCCCTGGGAGCGCTCTAGTCCACCACTCCCGCCCCGCGTCGCCGCGGAGCCACCCCACGAGCGACGCCATGCCTGCGAGCGACCACCTTCGACACCAGCCAGTGCACCAGGCCTCCAAGCAGCGCTCCAGCGAGCTTCTCAGCCGCCTTCTCGCCAGCCGACGCCTCTGGGCACGCCCTCGCCTCGCAGGCCGGGCAGGCCGCGCACGGCGGCGGCTCGCAGGCCGGGCAAGCTGCGCAGGGAGGCGGCTCGCAAGCCGGGCAGGCCGCGGCCTGCGGGCAGGCCGCGCGCGCCGCCGCCTCTGGGCACGCTGGGCAGGCAGGGCACGAGAGGTCTGGGCAGGCCGCCTGCCCTGGGCCCCAGCCTGGCACAAAGAAAACCGCGGCCTCCAGCGCCAGCACCGCCCAGGCCGGCAACGCGGCCGCCCCGCCAGGGATGGCGACCGCGTCCATCGACTCTGGGCCAGAGAAGCTCAAAGTAGGAAAATAGAGCCAGACGGCAACAGATGCAAGAGGAAGCTCGCCAAAAACATGATCTACCACGGCAGGGTTGCATCATCATCAAGAGGCGACTCATGCTCTGTGAAGCCAATGGGCGACAAACAGACAACAACTCGAGACTTCCTTCACGTGCAAGCACAAACCAATATCCCCTGGTCTCTTCCTCGATTAGAGCCCTTCTAGATGGAGTCGGAGTAGATGGGGTCGAAGGATCGCGCCGCATCGGCGATACGTCGGCGATGCATCGGCGATACACCGGCGATGCATCAGCGACGTCGGCGATGCATCGGCGACGTCCGCGTGAAGAAAATCGGGCTCCGCATTGAGCCGCATCGGCGATACATCGGCGATGCGGCGCGATCCTCCGACCCCATCTACTTCGACCCCATCTGGGAGGCCTAGATCGATCCCCTGCGCCTCAATCCTCGCTCCCGATGGCGTCTCATGGCCCAGGCTCCAATGTGCCAACATCTCCGGGGGGCCTTCCCCCGTGCCCCTTGGGCTCCCCCGAGTGTTGCCGCAGGACCTCCTCGGGGCCAGGACGGGCACAGGACGGGCCAAGGGACCCCCGAGGGTTCGCCTGGGCACCAGGAACCCTTGCACGATCGGTCCGGGACGTCAAAGATGGCTCCCAACACGGCCCAAGAAGCCCTCGAGGCGCCCCAAGAGAGCCCCAAGAGCATTCCCAAGATGGCCCCGAGAAGCCACAATTACTGTTTTCCGCGAAGTTTGCAGCTGTTTTGGGGGTCCTCGACTTTTTGAGCTTCCGACGCTCCAAGATGGCCATAGAGGCCCCCAAGACCACCCCAAGGGGCCCCCAAGAGGCACCCAAGAGGGCTCCAAGACGGCCCCAGAGGCGCCCGAAACGGCCCAAAGACAGCCCCAATAATGATCCGAGATGATGAACACGAACCGAAAATCCGAGGCTTTCGCCCCAGGAGACCACCAGGAGGCCCCAAGGGCCCCAGAGGCCCCCAAGAGGCCCCCTTGAGGCCCCCAAAACGCCCCAAGAGGCTCCAAGAGGCCCCCAGGAGGCTTCCAACCGGCCCCCAAGAGGCCCCCCAAGAAGCCTCCTGCGACATCTCAGCGAACATCCGAGAGGCCTATGACCCACAATCCCGGCACGGTGGCGGGATGGGCCGAAGGCCTTTAGTAGAAGAAGAAACAACGGCATAAACATCCGCCGCCACCTGTCGATTCATCGCAGGGGTGCCTGGCGTGCTAGATTCTTGCGGTTTAGATTCTTGCGGTTTTGGTTTTGGTTCTTTTTCCAAAAGAACTCCCCCTGGCGCTTCGGCCCGTCCCGCCGGTCACCCGAAAATTCCCCAATCCCGGAAAAAATCCGCCAAGACGGCTCAAGATGGCCTCCAAGATGGCCACGTTGGCCCAAGATGGCCTCCAAGATGGTTCAAGATGGCCTCCAAGTCCGCCCAAGAGAGGAGGAGATGCCTCCAAGTCCACCCAAGAAACCTCCAAGACGGCCCAAGAGGTGCCCAAGAGGCCTCCAAGACGGCCCAAGAGGCCTCCGAGAGGTCCTCCAGGAGGGCCCGAGAAGGCCAAAATCATTGATTTCCCAATGTTTTTTCAAAGTTTTTCGTATTTGCTCCTTTTCGGCTTCCCGACGACCCAAGACGGCCCAAGAGCCCCCAAGATCGCCCCCACAGCGCCCAAGAGGCCTCCAAGATGGCCTCAGGACGGCCCAAGAGGCCCCCAAGACGGCCCCAAGAGGGCACAAAGACGACCCAAGAGGCCTCCAAGACGCCCAAGATGGCCTCTAAAACGGCGCCCCAAGTCGGCCCAGAGAGGCTCCCCAAACGGCTTCCGACGGCGTCAGACGGGCCAGGAGCCCATCAAGACGGCCGAAATTGGCTCGAAGCTGGCCCAAGAGGCCTCCAAGAGGGCCTCCAGGAAGGCCAGAAAAAGGCCCAACACATTGATTTCCTATGGTTTCTGAAGCATTTTGCCATTTGCTCTTTTCGGCCATCCGAAGGCCCGATACGGCCCAAGAGCCCCCAAAGATCGCCCAAGAGGCCTCCAAGATGGCCCCAGAACGGCCCAAGAGACTCCCAAGACGGCCCCAAGAGGCCCCCAAGACGGCCCAGGATGCTTTTAAGACGCCCAAGATGGTCTCTAAGACGACCCTGGAGCACCCCTAAGAGGGCCCCAAGTCGGCCCAGAGAGGCCCCCTAAGATGGCCCAAGACAGCCCAAGAGACTTCCAAGAGGGCCTCCAGGAAGGGCCGAAAAGGCCAAAATCATTGAATTCCCATGAGTTTTTAAAGGACTGTGGCATTTGCTTTTTTTCGGCCTTCCGACGGCCCGAGACGGCCCAAGTGCCCCCAAGGATCGCCCAAGATGGCCCCAGAACGGCCCAAGAGGCTCCCAAAACGGCCCAAGAGGCCTCCAAGACGTCCTCCAAGAAGACCCGAAAGGGTCAAAATGGTCTCCAGACGGCCAAGATGACTTTCAAGATGCCCACGTGTTCCCCGAATGCTTTCCAAACCGATTCGGGGAACACATGGTCCGATAGCTTGGCAGGCCTGGCCTCAACGTTCGGCCACATAGGCGCTTCCAAAAATTATCCCGGCAAAGCAACCTAACAGCGATGTGTAGGAGCATACCTGGAAGCATTCCCCTTAAGATTCAGATGAGAATCCAGTTGTAGAATTGTGCTGTTCTCGCAGTCGTAGTCGCATTCGCGATGACAGTCGCAGTGGCAACGGCAGTCACAGACACAGCCTCAGCCTCAGCCTGCCTCAGCCTCAGCCTCAGCCTGCCTCAGCCTCAGCCTGCCTCAGCCTCAGCCTCAGCCTGCTTCAGCCTCAGCCTCAGTCTGCCTTCAGCCTCGGCGTCAGCCTCAGGCTGCCTCAGCCTCAGCCTGCATCAGCCTCAGCCTCAGCCTCAGCCTGCCTCAGCATCAGCCTGCCTCAGCCTCAGCCTCAGCCTGCCTCAGCATTCAAAATGTGGCCCGGGAATGTAGTTCTGGGAACTCGAAGAACACGAAGTGGCCTACAGTTGGCTCCGGGCATTCAAATTCATGCCCAGGAATGGAGTTCTGGGAACTCGAAGACCACGAAGTGGCCTACAGTTGGCTCCGGGCATCCAAAATCTGGCCCGGGAATGGCCTACAGTTGGCTCCGGGCATTCAAATTCATGCCCAGGAATGGAGTTCTGGGAACTCGAAGACCACGAAGTGGCCTACAGTTGGCTCCGGGCATCCAAAATCTGGCCCGGGAATGGAGTTCTGGGAACTCGAAGACCACGAAGTGGCCTACGGTTGGCTCCGGGCATCCAAAATCTGGCCCGGGAATGGAGTTCTGGGAACTCGAAGAGCACGAAGTGGCCTACAGTTGGCTCCGGGCATTCAAAATGTGGCCCGGGAGTGGAATTCTGGGACTCGAAGGCCACGAAGTGGCCTACAGTTGGCTCCGGGCATTCAAAATGTGGCCCGGGAATGGAGTTCTGGGAAGTCGAAGAGCACGAAGTGTGTGACTGCTGCATCCGGTTATTCAGAATGTGGCCTGGGAATGGGGTTCTGAGAGGTCGACGAGCACGAAGTGTGTGACTGTTGGTGAAAAACGAGCCCGGCACAGGCCCGGCCGGCAACTCCCAACGCCTTCCCGGACCCCCCTGTGGAGTGATCTGTGAGCTCTTTTGCGTCAACTAGAAACCTATCAGTCTTCGCTGTTAGGTAAAAGGGGGCGGCGGAGATACGCGGTAGGCGCCTTAGATAAACTTTTGGCGCTCCGCGCTGTTTGTTTGAATCTGCGCTGGGCCCCCCCTCCCTGGCGCGCTCCGCGCGCCAGGGGCAGCGCCGGAGGCGCCGCTCGGGGGGTCCAGCGCGGACCCAAGAACTCCGCGCGGAGCGCCAAACCTTTCTGTTGATGCTCTTTCTTCCTCGATTCAGATGTCGCGTGCCTGGGCCTGGGCCAGGGCGGCCTTTAGGGCGGGGCCAGCGGGGGGGGGACAAGTCCAAACGCGCGGGCCAGTGCTGGTGGCCCCCCCATGTGGGCCCGCAGCGCCGGGTGGCCACTCTGGCGAAGGGCCGCCCTTATATACGCGCAGCCGATCCTCCGGAGGCCCATGACCATCTCTTTCCCCGAGATCGTGCCCCTGCCTTCTACGTCGATGAGCTTGAACCACCGCTCGAGGGTGCGAACCTCGAACTTGACGGGCACCTCCCAGCCCTGCGGCTGGACCGCCTCCCAGCGGCTGTATCTCTCGTGGTTGGGGCCGTGCGGCAGCCTGGCGTTCCCCTGGTACCGCGCCGAGCCTCGAAGAAAAACAACGGCGTAAAGATGAACTTTTGGCGCTCCGCGCGGACTTCTTGGCTCTGCGCTGGGCCCACCTCCCTGGTGCGCTCCGCGCGCCAGGGGCGGCGCTGGAGGCGGCGCCCAGCGCGGATCCAAGAAATCCGCGCGGAGCGCCAAAAGTTTATGTTTACAGTGGAGGCCAGTCCACAAGAAACCTTCCACAAGAAACACAACCCTGAGACCCCAGGACGTCCAGTAATTCTTCGTGTGGGTACGCCACGCTCTCCATCGAAAACCAACCGAGAGCCAAGGAACCCAGGGCACCCTGGAGGCAAGCAGGGTGTTTCTCGGCATGGGCCTCCACTGTATGCTGAAGTCGGGCGTGTCCCCCTACAGGGGGATTTTCGACGAAAAATAAAACATACTAAAAAACTATCCCAAAATGACAAGAAAATGCTCAAAACATAGTCCCCAGACTATCTTTGGACTATTCTTGCACATTCCTTCTGTAGAGGGACAGGCACGACTTAAGAGTGACCCTGGGTAAGAGTGACCTTTGGTGCGCGGCTTTTGGGGGGCCGCGGGGGGACCACACTCCGGCGCGCAAGACGCTACTGTCGCATCGCAATCGGTGATCGGGGGAGACCCCACTGTGCCCGCACCAAAATTGGAGGCCACTCCGGCGAAAGGCCACTCTTACGTGCAACCGATTATGGCATTCCCAGGCCCCCGACGTCGTGATTTTTTCACAACGTCGACCCCCAGAGGTCTGGACCCCTTCCCCTGGACCGGTTTTTCGTCCTGAGTCGTTTTTTGACGGTCCGGAGGCACGGTAAGGGTCCCCAGAGGCCGGAAATAATGAAAAACCTCCCGTCGTGATTTTTTCACAGCGCGAGGCGGTTATGGCGTTGCTTCTGAGCCTGCGTTCGGCTCCATGAAGCGGTACTTGTGGCCCAGCCTCTCCATGTCCGCCCGCAGCGCCTCCTCGGCCTGCAGCGTGCCCGCGGCTGGGCCCGGGGCCGGGCGCTGGTCCCCGCGGTGCTCGTCGCCGGGCCTCCCGCGGACAGCTCCTCCTCCTACTGCTCCTCCTCCTCCTCCTCCTCCTCCTCCTCCTCCTCCCGCTCCGATCCGGCGCTCCGAGCTCGATGCTGGAGGAGGAGGAGGAGGAGGAGGAGGAGGAGGAGGAGGAGGAGGAGGAGGAGGAGGAGGCGGGA